GTCTTGTTTCTTCTTGACGTTTCTCTGTCTCTGTTCTGCTTTAGTATCAGCAGTCACCGGGGCTGTGTCATCAACAGGCTCGGTCTTCTAAACGAATCACTGCTTATCCCAGAGAGGGTTAGACTTTATACGCCAAACATCACATACACCCTGAAGACCACCAGAACACAAACATGGGAGTGTGCAAGTTTCCATACCAACAATGACATTCATTAGACACCACACCCTGCTGTCACCTGTACACGCAGACACACACACACACATACCAGCAGCTCCAAGTGTCGCTAGCAGTGAACCTGAACCGGCGCCCACATGTAAACTGATACAGTCAGTGAACACGGCTGACCCGGTACTTTCCTCTTGTTTTTCCGTTGTTTTTATAGGACAGGGTAAGATGGGCTGAACAAACGAATGAACTAACAAGCTTTATTTTCAAATGGTTAAGAATTGGGAACACAGGCCCGTCTTACATTCTGCCCTTCTGGCCTCACGCCATGCATACATTATTTATGCACACATTGAAGCATATTGACACGTGACCTGAGTATGTTGTCAACAACATATCTTAAATACTTGTTCTAAGTCGTGCATATGTCAAAGATTGTAAAAACTAGCATAAAGGACCATTTACAATCCTCTTGCCTATTGGCCTTACGGTACTAGACCAGTATCTTATAGACTAAACTTAGCTGTGTGGATGATATGGTCATCAATGCGCCGACCGATTTTACTTCCCGGGACATTACCTGGTACCGTGTTTTCCATTTCCAAATGCGGTAGTTTTTACTGTAACGGAGATAACTTTGACACCGTTGTTTGTTTGCCTGGTCCTGAGAAATACCGAAGTCTGCGTCTGTTATGTAACGCCATGTTGATAACACGACCAGTGTATAGGATACACAAACTACTTACTGATATATTGTCAATCTGTGCTGCCTTTTACTGAGTGAACTAAACTGCCAGGGTCAGACTACTTCCGGATTGTTGTGGGCTCATTCGTCGTTGCCCTGTGTGCCATTGTGTGGCATGTCACATACGGCTGGCCGTCTGTTTCTCCATTCCGTTCTATGAAGTTTCCTGGATCATGGATGAAACCTGGTCGCCAGCACCTTTGGTCTCTCTCATTAGAGTTCGCTGTAGGGTTTCTCTCCGATGTCTGCGTGTCCTCATTTCATCGCTGTCCAATGCTTGTGTTGTGTTTCTCTGCCTCTTCTCAGAATGTATCCGAAATAGCGCCTTCGTCCAAGTCTTATAACTGTCACCCAGAACTGTTAAATTCATCCCATTTTATGTTCATCATTTACGCATGCATTTAAAATTCTTTCTCTGTCTCTGGTGGCTGTCCAACTTTCACTGGTATATGTTACAGTTGCATAGATATACTGAAGTAACATTTGAATTTCAAATATGTAACTTGGTTCTAAAACTATCTAGTTTAAAGCTCCATATTTTGCTCAAGCTTTTAAAAGCAGCTGATGCCTTGCTCAGGCTTGTCATACTTTCTGCCCTGTGGTTTCCTTGGCTGTAAGTCTGACTACTCACATAAGTAAAATGTTACTACCTATATAAGTAAAATGTTACCACCCACATAAGTAAAGTGTTACTACCCACATAAAGTAAAATGTTACTACCCACATAAAGTAAAATGTTACTACCCACATAAGTAAAATGTTACTACCCATATAAGTAAAATGTTACTACCCACATAAAGTAAAATGTTACTACCCACATAAAGTAAAATGTTACTACCCATATAAGTAAAATGTTACTACTTACATAAGTAAAATGTTACTACCCACATAAGTGAAATGTAACTACCCATATAAGTAAAATGTTACTACCCACATAAGTAAAATGTTACTACCTACATAAGTAAAATGTTACTACCCATATAAGTAAAATGTTACTACCCAAATAAAGTAAAATGCTACTACCTACATAAGTAAAATGTTACTACCCACATAAAGTAAAATGTTCCTACCCACATAAAGTAAAATGTTCCTACCTACATAAGTAAAATGTTACTACCCATATAAGTAAAATGTTACTACCCACATAAGTAAAATGTTACTACCCATATAAGCAAAATTTACTACCCACATAAGTAAAATATTACCACCCACATACGTAAAATTTTACTACCCACATAAATAAATTGAACGGTGACTGTAATTCTTTTTGCCTCTAGTCTTACGGCTTCTTGATCTCTTAATGATGTCTTTAACATTTTGGTCTTGTCATAACTAATGTGTAGACCAACTGTTGATGCTGCTTTTGCTAAATCATCTGTTTTTCTGTGCACCCCATTACCATTCTTACTTAGCAAAACAATAGCCCCTGCTATTATATTGTTGTGGGCTAGTAACAATTACATATGTTATTTAACATGGGCCACAGCTGGTCTCGAAACCATGTTAACATGAACCAGGAGCCAACGTCTCACCCTCTAAGTATCATCTAGGGTCGATCCCCTTCCTTTTCTTTGGGTTCCGTGCTGCAGCTAGATAGTTGTGCTGTGTTCTGTCCATCACCCTGGGAGATGCTGAAGGTGTGTGGGTTAACTCACGTGTTTCATGTGCTCTTGTATGGTAGCCATGAACCTGAAGTCAGCTGTTGTATGGTAGCCATGGACGTGATGTCAACTGTTGTATGGTAGCCATGAACCTGAAGTCAGCTGTTGTATGGTAGCCATGAACCTGATGTCAGCTGTTGTATGGTAGCCATGGACGTGATGTCAGCTGTTGTATGGTAGCCATGAACCTGAAGTCAGCTGTTGTATGGTAGCCATGGACGTGATGTCAACTGTTGTATGGTAGCCATGCAGCACTTGATGTCAGCTGTTGTATGGTAGCCATGCACGTGATGTCAGCTGTTGTATGGTAGCCATGAACTTGATGTCAGCTGTTGTATGGTAGCCATGAACTTGATGTCAGCTGTTGTATGGTAGCCATGGACGTGATGTCAGCTGTTGTATGGTAACCATGCACGTGATGTCAGCTGTTGTATGGTAACCATGCACGTGATGTCAGCTGTTGTATGGTGGCCATGAACTTGATGTCAGCTGTTGTATGGTAGCCATGAACTTGATGTCAGCTGTTCTTTGGTAGCCATGGACGTGATGTCAGCTGTTGTATGGTAGCCATGAACGTGATGTCAGCTGTTGTATGGTAGCCATGAACGTGATGTCAGCTGTTGTATGGTAGCCATGAACTTGATGTCAGATGTTGTATGGTAGCCATGAACTTGATGTCAGCTGTTGTATGGTAGCCATGCACTTGATGTCAGCTGTTGTATGGTAGCCATGTACGTGATGTCAGCTGTTGTATGGTGGCCATGAACTTGATGTCAGCTATTGTATGGTAGCCATGAACTTGATGTCAGCTGTTGTATGGTAGCCATGAACTTGATGTCAGCTGTTCTTTGGTAGCCATGAACTTGATGTCAGCTATTGTATGGTAGCTATGAACTTGATGTCAGCTGTTGTATGGTAGCCATGAACGTGATGTCAGCTGTTGTATGGTAGCCATGAACGTGATGTCAGCTGTTGTATGGTAGTCATGAACTTGATGTCAGCTGTTGTTTGGTAGCCATGAACCTGATGTCAGCTGTTGTATGATAACCATGAACTTGATGTCAGCTGTTGTATGGTAGCCATGAACGTGATGTCAGCTGTTGTATGGTAGCCATGAACGTGATGTCAGCTGTTGTATGGTAGCCATGAACGTGATGTCAGCTGTTGTATGGTAGCCATGAACGTGATGTCAGCTGTTGTAATGTAGCCATAAACGTGATGTCAGCTGTTGTATGGTAGCCATAAACGTGATGTCAGCTGTTGGATGTCACCCGACCCTCCTGTCGGTTCCAGGGCCCAATTGTCGGGGGGGGGGGGGGGGGGTAGACCCACTCCCCTCTAACAAGCATATCGCAAAGAGGGACTAACGAGCTTGCTGAAATCGGATTATTGGACCGAGAGGCGCAAATATCGCATCTTTGCTGTAAACCACAATACAGTGTGCCAGAATCCTTTTTAAGGGATAAGCGCAAAAGAAGAAGACTGTGATCGGTATTTATGGACTTGTGACGCAAGATAAGAAACGGCAAGCAACTTGATGACTAGCTGAAATCATAGCCCAAATCTCACAGACAACTCATTGTTTCTTGAGCATATCACAGATTGTAGAAACCGATCTTCTCTGGCTGTCGTCACGCGATCTTTGATCCTGTCAGTACTTTACACAGTATATACCAGACATCACTCTCCTTCCCCAGTACTTTACACAGTATATACCAGACATCACTCTCCTTCCCCAGAACGTTACATAATGAGGACTTGTTTGCTGTGCCCACATAAATGTACACACACATACACACACACATTCATAAACCGAGGACTCCGTCTGTTATCAAGCGATATGTTGATAACGCGACGAGTGTATAGGACACATTAACTACTTACTGATATATTGTCAATCTGTGCTGCCTTTCACTTTGAGTGGACTAAACTTGTGCCCTAGAACGTCTTCAACCTCCAAGGGTCATTTGATCTATAGAGTTGCCTGTCGGTGTCAGAGGCAGGGCACAAACTGTGCCCTTGCTTTCCAAACGGTTCAACGTTAATACCATTGTCGACATAAACGCATAATTGGTCTGAAGCAAAATTGCTGGCATAATCATTCGAAACCTGGTGTGTCAGAAGTTGAAACTGCGTTCACAGCCCCTAAGCCAAAGGTGCCGACTACAAGAAGATTGGTCCATTTATGGATATATTGGTGCTCACTGTATTTGATCCATTATGAAATAAACGAATGTTTGTAGGTGTGTGTAAGTGTGTGCCTGTGTTTGTGAGTGTGTTGGAGAGGATGACCGTGAAGGCTATAATAATAATAAAAAAACAACAAATAAAGAACCTACAACTAATGGCAGCACTATATAAGTTATCGTTTTGTGTTACAGGCCAAGAACGGAGACAGCGGTAGTGACGGGGGATTTCACACGAGCAGCACCAGAACTCCCTTCCACAACATGAGCACCGACAGCCAACCATCAAATCCTCTCTATGACCTGGGAGACTTCGGCTCGGAGCCGGCCAACCCTCTGTACGACCTCGACTCAGAGTTCAACCTCAACGACTCGTCTAACCGCGGCTACGAGCTGAGGTCGGAGACCACAGTCAAGACAGAGTCGGCAGGCAACCAGCTCTACGACGCCTACGAGGTTGATGAAACCATAGATGAAGCAGCGGAGGAGGTGGATTTGCTTTCTGGGACCAACGAGATACAGGAGGAAGAGGAGGAAGACGAACATGTCAGCTACGAACGAACCAGGCAGCATCAGTACAATGACAGCGACTCCCAGGAGGTTCAAGAGGAGGAGGAGGAGGAGGAGCAGGGCCAGGTGAAGGTTGTGACCTTGGAGTACGAGAACACAGCTATGAATGGTGAATCCAGGCATTGGGTGGGGAATTTACCAGATGAGGAACCAGAGGAACGGCAGCGTGGTGATTCCGATGATGGAGATAATGATTCTGGACGAGTTGAAGTTGTTGAAGAGGTAAGTGATTCACATCCGAGTTTGTTGCATATTCGTCTTGTTCTTGATTACAGTGAGCTTCCTCACAGGACATCAGGTATACGTAATTTGCCCTCCTCGTGTGGTTCCAAGCATGTCGTAGAAGTCGAATAACTTGGGACTTTCTCTGAAGTCGGAGTGCATCTGCCGGACCGGCAAAGAACAACTAGCACACAAATAAGCCGGTAAAACTGATGTACACGCACAAGTCAGGCCCTGTCACTAAGCCACAGTATGCATGGATGAACAACCATAACTTTCCGCCACAGCTTAAACAAAAAAAGAAGAAGACGAAGGTAATTTGCCATTTCCCATCTGCCGTGACGTCTCTCTTGCATATACACGTATTGTCATTGTTGCCAGCTGTGTTGTAAAATTTTCAACTGTGCCCTAATTACGTCTGTAAGGAATGTTTAGCAGTGTAAAAGGTTGTAACTGTTTTCTTGTGCAGTAGTCTGTCTGTAAAGATACCAGCCTGGCTGTACCTCAGCTACTGCAGACTGACGTCACATTGTCCAGTCCGTGAATGTTCACTGTTCTGTTGTTCTTATCTCTTCTTCTGTTAGCCGCAGTTTCTTAGATCAGGTTGTCCTCTCTGGGATGCTACCGGAACGTTCAGTTCCAGAGTGCAGTTTTTACACAGATTCTGGAGAGTTCGTTGCAGGAGATACGAGCGTGCTTTGTGTGAGGCTCCTGGCACACTGCCAGCTGTTCTGCCAATAGAGACCAAGCCATGTAGGATCAAACCTGGTACAGCCAAGTCGATCTTCTCGACTTTAACCCTAACCGGAAGGTTTAAAAAAAAAAAACCTAAATGACAGACCACCAACCAATCAGATTTGAGATAGCACGTTCAAGCTCTAAAAAGGTTATAATTAGGGCAGCAGTAACGGTGTCACCAGCCCGGTGTCAGCTGCCGTTACGAGAGGACAATTACCAGCTACAGTAGAACTTTAGGTCCTTAATATCATTGCAAGTTCTCTAGATCTGTCTGTCTCGTGTAGAATGTCCTTGTCTATGAGAGGACAATTACCAGCTACAGTAGAACTTTAGGTCCTTAATATCATTGCAAGTTCTCTAGATCTGTCTGTCTCGTGTAGAATGTCCTTGTCTATGAGAGGACAATTACCAGCTACAGTAGAACTTTAGGTCCTTAATATCATTGCAAGTTCTCTAGATCTGTCTGTCTCGTGTAGAATGTCCTTGTCTATGAGAGGACAATTACCAGCTACAGTAGAACTTTAGGTCCTTAATATCATTGCAAGTTCTCTAGATCTGTCTGTCTCGTGTAGAATGTCCTTGTCTATGAGAGGACAATTACCAGCTACAGTAGAACTTTAGGTCCTTAATATCATTGCAAGTTCTCTAGATCTGTCTGTCTCGTGTAGAATGTCCTTGTCTATGAGAGGACAATTACCAGCTACAGTAGAACTTTAGGTCCTTAATATCATTGCAAGTTCTCTAGATCTGTCTGTCTCGTGTAGAATGTCCTTGTCTATGAGAGGACAATTACCAGCTACAGTAGAACTTTAGGTCCTTAATATCATTGCAAGTTCTCTAGATCTGTCTGTCTCGTGTAGAATGTCCTTGTCTATGAGAGGACAATTACCAGCTACAGTAGAACTTTAGGTCCTTAATATCATTGCAAGTTCTCTAGATCTGTCTGTCTCGTGTAGAATGTCCTTGTCTATGAGAGGACAATTACCAGCTACAGTAGAACTTTAGGTCCTTAATATCATTGCAAGTTCTCTAGATCTGTCTGTCTCGTGTAGAATGTCCTTGTCTATGAGAGGACAATTACCAGCTACAGTAGAACTTTAGGTCCTTAATATCATTGCAAGTTCTCTAGATCTGTCTGTCTCGTGTAGAATGTCCTTGTCTATGAGAGGACAATTACCAGCTACAGTAGAACTTTAGGTCCTTAATATCATTGCAAGTTCTCTAGATCTGTCTGTCTCGTGTAGAATGTCCTTGTCTATGAGAGGACAATTACCAGCTACAGTAGAACTTTAGGTCCTTAATATCATTGCAAGTTCTCTAGATCTGTCTGTCTCGTGTAGAATGTCCTTGTCTATGAGAGGACAATTACCAGCTACAGTAGAACTTTAGGTCCTTAATATCATTGCAAGTTCTCTAGATCTGTCTGTCTCGTGTAGAATGTCCTTGTCTATGAGAGGACAATTACCAGCTACAGTAGAACTTTAGGTCCTTAATATCATTGCAAGTTCTCTAGATCTGTCTGTCTCGTGTAGAATGTCCTTGTCTATGAGAGGACAATTACCAGCTACAGTAGAACTTTAGGTCCTTAATATCATTGCAAGTTCTCTAGATCTGTCTGTCTCGTGTAGAATGTCCTTGTCTATGAGAGGACAATTACCAGCTACAGTAGAACTTTAGGTCCTTAATATCATTGCAAGTTCTCTAGATCTGTCTGTCTCGTGTAGAATGTCCTTGTCTATGAGAGGACAATTACCAGCTACAGTAGAACTTTAGGTCCTTAATATCATTGCAAGTTCTCTAGATCTGTCTGTCTCGTGTAGAATGTCCTTGTCTATGAGAGGACAATTACCAGCTACAGTAGAACTTTAGGTCCTTAATATCATTGCAAGTTCTCTAGATCTGTCTGTCTCGTGTAGAATGTCCTTGTCTATGAGAGGACAATTACCAGCTACAGTAGAACTTTAGGTCCTTAATATCATTGCAAGTTCTCTAGATCTGTCTGTCTCGTGTAGAATGTCCTTGTCTATGAGAGGACAATTACCAGCTACAGTAGAACTTTAGGTCCTTAATATCATTGCAAGTTCTCTAGATCTGTCTGTCTCGTGTAGAATGTCCTTGTCTATGAGAGGACAATTACCAGCTACAGTAGAACTTTAGGTCCTTAATATCATTGCAAGTTCTCTAGATCTGTCTGTCTCGTGTAGAATGTCCTTGTCTATGAGAGGACAATTACCAGCTACAGTAGAACTTTAGGTCCTTAATATCATTGCAAGTTCTCTAGATCTGTCTGTCTCGTGTAGAATGTCCTTGTCTATGAGAGGACAATTACCAGCTACAGTAGAACTTTAGGTCCTTAATATCATTGCAAGTTCTCTAGATCTGTCTGTCTCGTGTAGAATGTCCTTGTCTATGAGAGGACAATTACCAGCTACAGTAGAACTTTAGGTCCTTAATATCATTGCAAGTTCTCTAGATCTGTCTGTCTCGTGTAGAATGTCCTTGTCTATGAGAGGACAATTACCAGCTACAGTAGAACTTTAGGTCCTTAATATCATTGCAAGTTCTCTAGATCTGTCTGTCTCGTGTAGAATGTCCTTGTCTATGAGAGGACAATTACCAGCTACAGTAGAACTTTAGGTCCTTAATATCATTGCAAGTTCTCTAGATCTGTCTGTCTCGTGTAGAATGTCCTTGTCTATGAGAGGACAATTACCAGCTACAGTAGAACTTTAGGTCCTTAATATCATTGCAAGTTCTCTAGATCTGTCTGTCTCGTGTAGAATGTCCTTGTCTATGAGAGGACAATTACCAGCTACAGTAGAACTTTGGGTCCCTTAATATCATTGCAAGTTCTCTAGATCTGTCTGTCTCGTGTAGAATGTCCTTGTCTATGAGAGGACAATTACCAGCTACAGTAGAACTTTAGGTCCTTAATATCATTGCAAGTTCTCTAGATCTGTCTGTCTCGTGTAGAATGTCCTTGTCTATGAGAGGACAATTACCAGCTACAGTAGAACTTTGGGTCCTTAATATCATTGCAAGTTCTCTAGATCTGTCTGTCTCGTGTAGAATGTCCTTGTCTATGAGAGGACAATTACCAGCTACAGTAGAACTTTAGGTCCTTAATATCATTGCAAGTTCTCTAGATCTGTCTGTCTCGTGTAGAATGTCCTTGTCTATGAGAGGACAATTACCAGCTACAGTAGAACTTTAGGTCCTTAATATCATTGCAAGTTCTCTAGATCTGTCTGTCTCGTGTAGAATGTCCTTGTCTATGAGAGGACAATTACCAGCTACAGTAGAACTTTGGGTCCTTAATATCATTGCAAGTTCTCTAGATCTGTCTGTCTCGTGTAGAATGTCCTTGTCTATGAGAGGACAATTACCAGCTACAGTAGAACTTTAGGTCCTTAATATCATTGCAAGTTCTCTAGATCTGTCTGTCTCGTGTAGAATGTCCTTGTCTATGAGAGGACAATTACCAGCTACAGTAGAACTTTGGGTCCTTAATATCATTGCAAGTTCTCTAGATCTGTCTGTCTCGTGTAGAATGTCCTTGTCTATGAGAGGACAATTACCAGCTACAGTAGAACTTTAGGTCCTTAATATCATTGCAAGTTCTCTAGATCTGTCTGTCTCGTGTAGAATGTCCTTGTCTATGAGAGGACAATTACCAGCTACAGTAGAACTTTAGGTCCTTAATATCATTGCAAGTTCTCTAGATCTGTCTGTCTCGTGTAGAATGTCCTTGTCTATGAGAGGACAATTACCAGCTACAGTAGAACTTTGGGTCCTTAATATCATTGCAAGTTCTCTAGATCTGTCTGTCTCGTGTAGAATGTCCTTGTCTATGAGAGGACAATTACCAGCTACAGTAGAACTTTGGGTCCTTAATATCATTGCAAGTTCTCTAGATCTGTCTGTCTCGTGTAGAATGTCCTTGTCTATGAGAGGACAATTACCAGCTACAGTAGAACTTTGGGTCCTTAATATCATTTTAAGTTTTCTAGATCTGTCTGTCTCATGTAGGATATCCTTGTCTGTCTGTCTCATGTAGGATATCCTTGTCTGTCTGTCTCATGTAGGATATCCTTGTCTGTCTCATTTAGGATATCCTTGTCTGTCTTTCTCATGTGGGATTTCCTTGTCTGTCTGTCTCATGTAGGATATCCTTGTCTGTCTGTCTCATGTAGGATATCCTTGTCTGTCTGTCTCATGTAGGATATCCTTGTCTGTCTCATGTAGGATATCCTTGTCTGTCTAGCGTCTCATGTGGGACATCCTTGTCTGTCTGTCTCATGTAGGATATCCTTGTCTGTCTGTCTCATGTAGGATATCCTTGTCTGTCTCATGTAGGATATCCTTGTCTGTCTAGCGTCTCATGTAGGATATCCTTGTCTGTCTAGCGTCTCATGTAGGATGTCCTTGTCTGTCTAGTGTTACTTGAATATCCCCCAAGTACCTTCTCAGTATGTTAACGATGGTACCAGGTGTCTCTCCAGCTTTGTGAGCTCCAGAGGACACCTTCTCTAGTTACAGGCACCTGTTGCTCAATCATTCCAAATGTTTCCATCTCCGTATGGCTTTGATAAGGTGTTACCCTTGATTTTATTTGACAAGCGTGTTTCTGCTTCACTAATTTTACAACGTTCTATACATCTACGCTGACAGATCTCTTTCCATAGATGCCCTGTCACTACCTGTTTATGACACATCCTTTGGGTCAGATCAGCTATAGGTGCCTTGGAACCTGGGAGTTTTGTGTCCTTCAACTTCTTACTCCAAACTCCAATAAAAGGTTTTATTATTTTTTGGAGGAGGGAGGGGTGTCAGTCCACTCTGTCCCCAACCCCTATAAAATGTGAATTGGGGGAGGGGGGGGGGGGGGAGGTCCCCATAGCTACATACATTTAAAAGTATACATGTTATATGTGCAAGTTTTTGTTCATACATTTCATATTCTTTCAAACATATGATTATATTCATGTTTCATTTAGCATATTATTATTATTATTATTCACTGAAACAAGACTTAGACCCCTTGAGCACGGGGCAGTGCCGTTGTTTAGCTATCCTCGACCCTGAGTGTGTATTGGCAATGTTGATTTATGTTTGTTGGTGTAAGTGTCTTCAGTCTTGGATGTGGTGACGATTGGTTTACAGTACATGCGATCATGGTTCATAGTCCAGTCCATGGAGTCCCAGAAATCTCGCGTGAACAGTCTATGTCGACAGACGGGGGTGGGGGCGGGGGGGGGGGGGGGGGGTTTAGTTTTGTTCGGATCGCAAAGAAGAAGAAGAACAATTGTTCTGGGGCAGACCGCTTCAGATGCTTTCTATTATTCATGTGCTAAACATTTGTCTCAAAACTGAACTTGTATGAAGCCGGTGGTGAGTTTATGTCTCAGCCATTGACTGTTTTCCCTTGCTGGGTGGCTTTCATCTTTTCACTAGACCACCTCATTGTCTTTGTGCATATTTCCCCTGTGATCCAGAAAGCAGCAAATGGGTGTTGAATATGATGTTTATCTTGTCTTGTCTGTCTTCGTTTTCTGTTGTGTTTTTCTTTCCTTCTTCTCTCATGTTTGAAATAAGGAATATGCAGGGCTGTGTTTACATGTCATAATTGTGACCAGATGTTGGGTAGATCTCTCTGGGATCTGTCAACAGACAGGATGTCATGATTTGTTGATGTCGCATCTATTCGTCACACATATAGGCAGGATGTCATGATTTGTTGATGTCACATATGTTCGTCACACATACAGGCTGTTACTGATGAAGAAGACATCAGGGAAGAGTCTCTGGCAAGTCAGGTCCAAGATCAGAGAATGATCACCAAGGATAAAGAAGCAGTGCCAGGGGACGCTTCAGCAAGACGCGCTGAGGAAGACAGTCGAACGTCAGAAGAAGAAGAAGAGTTGCCCGAAGATGATGCCGAGAAGGGCGTACAGATACACGTCAGTGAATTCACCGACATGTCGCCTTTCGAGGAGGATAACATCGTGCGAAAAGCTATGGAAGTATATCATGCTGAGGCGGCGAGGACTGCCAGCGATGGTGGTGGAGTAGCGGCTGATGGTGAAGCCATTTATGGGGTCATCGTTGGCAGCAGCGGACGAGGATTTGAAGGTGTTGAACATTTCAGTGACGACCGAGCTGAGGAAGCCTTGGAGAAGTATTGCTTAGACAGGGAGGATTCTGATGTAGTGGAAACCGTGGGACTGGCAGATGCCAATCGTTTCAGTGTTGACCAGGCGGAAGAAGATCTGGAAAATTATTGTTTGGATAGAGAGGAATCTGACGTCGTCGAGGAAGCAGAAAACGAAGCTGACGAGCAGTTGGGAGATTTGAAGTCACGACAGACTAGAGACCTTACTTCCGGCAGTGGTCTTGGCCCCGATGTCACAGGTTCGCTCGAGAACAGATATGGACATGAGCCTACCTCTACTTGGGAAACCAGCAAAGACAGAAGCCAGGAGCCGATGCTGCATGCACAGGAAACTCATCAGGTTAGAACATACCTGTTTGCTGCCTGCCCCCTTGGATGTTGCACGGCTCAATATATTGCGTGTTTTTTCCCCATTGTCTTTCTAGCTTATCAACGTTTTGTTGGGGTGTTCCCCGTTTGGCATTGATGTTTGATGAAGTGCTGCTTGGTTTCAACCCTTTTGGTTGATGTTTCAGTGAAGCTTTTGCATTTTGTTGTTTCCCATTGACATTTGATTTGCACATTTGTTCGCCTTGAATGTTGCAGTTTAAATCACTTCACTTTTATGTTGTAGTTTAAATCACTTCACTTTTATGTTGTCTACTGTCGTTGTATGAAATGTTATCCTAAACATTGATGTGTTGTTGGATTTCATCTTGTTCTATTTTTCACATTGATGTTTGCTGGATTAAGGCTTGCATGCTGATCATAGATGTAAATGCTTTACAGCCCAGATTATTTGCCTGTTTCAATTAGTGATGTCTGCTGCTATATCATGCAACACACGCAATTTATGTTCTCGTATCGTTTACAGTGGCTTAGGAAGCTAGGGAAGGGAACGTGTAGCATGCGCAACACACACAATTTCATCACATAAATGTTTGCGTTGAACCTGTAGAAGTTTAATTTAGTAAATATCTGAAGATCTAATGGCATGAAGCAAATAGCCCTACAAATCGAACCTCTGCTGGCAAACATAAGGCGCACAGACACGGGGCAGAGTAAGTGGGTCAGTCAGTGTTGTGCAACCTGTGGGTGTTTAGCTTTGCTGCGGTTTGTGTGATCTCCCCTTGTCTATGCCACGGCACGTTCATGAAGAAATAAAAAAGCAGAACTACTGTCAAAGCAGAAGACACACTTCCGACAACATCGTGTCAATACGTGAATTAAACACCGACACCATAGCACTCATGACATTTTCATAAGCCTGTCACCTCCAGACGGCGTGTGCGCCTCGCCATGGATACAAGTGCACTAAGAACATGGTCAACTAGGCACTCCCAAAAAAAGATGTCTTATTGGCCATGTCTGTCGTACAGCTTTAAATCCACAACTATGGAATACGGACAGAATTCATTTCAAACCATTGAAATGGCACCATAAGTTACATAAATTTATATTAACGAAGCATAACACAAATAACAATCACAGCAACAATTTACGAATACAGTAGGTCTTAATGCTTTGTCTAGAATACACAAACATTTAAGAAAGGTATTTGATTCAACCGTGGATATTTCGAGGTGGTCCGCCAAAAACATCTGCTTAATATTTTAGTGGCTGACATGAATGTGGCGTTGTATTGCTGTTGGGTGATTGGCATCATTGCAGGTCCAGGACCCTGGTCAGAACGATCCAGTCAAGGTCCCTGTTCACCCCAGTGGGGCGTGGAGTATATAGTGGTACAACTATATCGTTAGACCGGTCGGCACTCGATGTGCTAAAGATTAGGCCGGCCACATTTGCTCCCCAGGACATTACATTGTACCCATTTTAGGTTGGGTGAGCCAGTTCCAATGAGTTGGGGGTGGGGTGGGTATCCGTATTGATGCGGATCTGAAACCCTAGACCTTGGGGCTAGGAGGCCAGCGACTGTCCGCTACGCTTTCCCGGCTGCTATCATCACTACAGTAGACATGTCATCTGTCCGTACTGTAGTCCTCAGACCAGCACATTCAGCTAGTTCTCCCTGGTGCAGTAATGCAGAAACACTAAGGTATGCGGTGGAACCACTCGGTGTATTGCGTCGACTAACTTTGTCACATTCTCGCAGCTTTGGAGTGCAAGATGTTCATCGGCCTCCCCTTTCCCATGGCAACCTCTAGGAAGTGAGAGGCAATGAAGTGTTGCGGAAAGAGGTGAGGCTGCCAGAGCTGTGCTTTCAACAGGTAGAAAATTACCTATTATGTTTGTACCTGGTTCTGAAGCGATGCCAGATTTCCAATTGTTGGTCCTGGCAGCTTTCAGCAAAGCGCCGCTGGTGCACACAACAGGTCGTGCTTCCAACTGCTCACAGCACGGGCAGTATCAACAGCAGTCGGTGATTCACGTTAGCAGGATAGACACGTCATATAGATAGTTGGTGTCTTAGAGCGGTGTTTCTGGCGTTACATTAGAGAGACAACAGTTCGTTACATTATAGAGTCAACAGCTCGTTACATTATAGAGTAACAGTTGGTTACTTTATAGAGACAACAGTTAGTTACTTTATAGAGATAACAGTTAGTTACTTTATAGAGACAACAGTTCGTTACTTTACAGAGACAACAGTTCGTTACTTTTTAGAGACAACATTTCGTTACTTTTTAGAGACAACAGTTCGTTACTTTATAGGGACAACAGTTCTTTACTTTATAGAGACGACCGTTCGTTACTTTATAGAGACAACAGTTCGTTATTTTATAGAGACAACAGCTCGTTACTTTATAGAGACAACAGTTTGTTACTTTATAGAGACAACAGTTCGTTACTTTATAGAAACAGCAGCTCGTTACTTTATAGAGACAACAGTTCTTTACTTTATAGAAACAACAGTTCGTTACTTTATAGAGACAACAGTTCGTTACTTTATAGAGACAACAGTTCGTTACTTTATAGAGACAACAGTTCGTTACTTTATAGAGACAACAGTTGGAATAGGTTTAGGGTATTGTTTTTCTTTTTTTGGTTGACTCATTTAGTCCACGCTTTATAACAATGTATCAGACGCATTATATTACAACTGTCTAATTGAGCAATGCGTTATTTTTGCAGTTGTCTTATTTAGCAGATGTGTTATTTTATAGTTATCTAAGTGAGCAGAGGCGTTATTTTACAACTGTCTATTTGTGCAGAGGCGTTTATCCCCTTTGGTAGTGCTTTGGTAGTGCTTTGGTAGTGCTTTGGTAGTGCTTTGGTAGTGCTTTGGTAGTGCTTTGGTAGTGCTTTGGTAGTGCTTTGGTAGTGCTTTGGTAGTGCTTTGGTAGTGCTTTGGTAGTGCTTTGATAGTGCTTTGGTAGTGCTTTGGTAGTGCTTTGATAGTGCTTTGGTAGTGCTTTGATAGTGCTTTGGTAGTGCTTTGGTAGTGCTTTGGTAGTGCTTTGGTAGTGCTTTGATAGTGCTTTGGTAGTGCTATGGTAGTGCTTTGATAGTGCTTTGGTAGTGCTTTGATAGTGCTTTGGTAGTGCTTTGATAGTGCTTTGGTAGTGCTTTGATAGTGCTTTGGTAGTGCTTTAGTAGTGCTTTGATAGTGCTTTGGTAGTGCTTTGATAGTGCTTTGGTAGTGCTTTGAAGGTAGTTGGCCCCAGGCGGAGTGGAGGTTGAGTTCTTGGGCCCCATTTAATTCATTGTGTCCAGTTGCTATTTTATACTTGTTTAAGTACTGAGTCGGCACCATGCTGGCCACATCAGCCACCAAATGCTGATTTGTCTTTAAATATTAGGTCTAGCCCTATGTGCCCAACACTTGTGATGGCGTGGTAAAGGGTCCTATACTTTTACTTTACCTAATTTCTCAGTGGCATTCTTTTTATAAAAGTCTGATTGTGTGAATGCATTATTATATTATGGTCTAATTATGTATATATATATATATTTAAATAGTATCACTACCCACCACGCTTTGCCGTGGCTGAGTCTAACGAAATGGAGACCCAAAAAAATAGAACGCGAACGTGTCTAATACACATAATTTCAACAGCAAAGCGACAAGGTGAAAAATATCACGCGAGACCCTCTCCAGTGTAATCGTTAGCTTCTAGCGCTTACACATGCGAATTGCTCACCCTTCGCCGCTCTCCCGTAGAAAACTCAAACTGAATAATAAACACATTACCACGCTGGGCGTGATGTGGTGGAGAGCCTATGCTCCATTGTGAGGATACCGGTATATATTTGTGTGTGTCGGCGCGTGCTCGGAATAGAGCTACCTGTGTGTTTAGGATTGGAAGACACCTGTTTGGGAGTTCAATCTTTCACCCAGGCTGGCTAGCATTTGTTGACCTATTTTCAGAGATGTGGCCGTTTGGCGAAAGCTTGGCAGGGGCTGATCGCCTGTAAACACCCAGCACAGATTAGCAGCTTGTTGATCATCACCTGTTGGGCTGCTGTAACCCCGCATGCCGGTGTAAATCTCGGGGATGGCACAGCAGGCACGGGATGTCAGCGGCTAGATGGTCCAATACTGGGTTTTCGATCTTCAGATATTTAAGTATCCAAAAACCATGAGCTGTTGACCTTTTGGCTCGGTAAAAGATGGAAATCGCAACCTTTTGGGATTGATTCCATAATAGATAGCGTATATCTGGGAGAAGTGTGGCTTGTCTGATATAGGTATACATGTTGACAAGATTTCTGGCCTAGCTTACAGTTCGATTAGTTCCACTTGTCAGTCTGTTTTCTAAAGTAGAACACAAAACGTGTTTGCCTCATATTTTTACTCCCCTTCTTGTGTGTATGTGTGTATGTGTGTATGTGTGTATGTGTGTATGTGTGTATGTGTGTATGTGTGTATGCTCACCGGCGTTTGTGTGAGTAACCGGTATGCGTAGGAGATTCAGACTGTGGGGGAGTTTGTTCTTACCTGAGTCATCTGTTCTTACCTAGGCCGTGCTTTCTTACCTGAGCCGTGCCGGCCTCGTGAGCTGGGCATTCCTACCTGAGTAGTGTGTTGTGTGACCTGAGTAATGCTCCACTCACCAAAGTATTGGAATTGTTAAAACAGTTGGAAGCTCTCAAGTCTCGGTGGCGGGGGATAAACAAGACTGTTTTTATTATTTTATTTCTTTTAACCAAATGTACAGTCAGGGGTAACGAAACTTGCAGACTGTCAGTCGGATCAGGGGCGCCGTGTCAGAGCAGGGAAGCCACGGAGTTAAGATGTGAGGTTGTGTAGTTGGATGTCGCCAGTTCGCAGTTAAGATGTGATGTAACATAACCTCGGTGTGTAGTTGCGTGTATCACGTTCTGGTGATCCGTCTTGATTCCCTGTTACTGTTCTGTGTGATTGTGTGTAGAGAAGTTATAGAAGAATTCAGTCAACCGTGTTAATAACTTTGTTCTGATACTACTTAAAAAATCTGTGCAGTGTAATCATTAGAGGCACGGCAAATGGGTTGTATACAAGTCGAAAAATCTGTAAGTGTGATGGTACAGAACAGTTAAATAATCTGCGAAATGTGATATGTTGTAGTTATATAATGAGGTAAATATGATATAGTTAGTTAGTTGCGTATCCTTTACAGGACGTTACAGAACCAACCCCAACAGCCCCTGGCTGTTGTGTGGTTTTTCTATGCAAATTTAAGTCCAGTAGTTTTGAAATATGATATACAGGGGTTAAATAATCGATTACATGTGTTATTCATTAGTTAAATAATCTGGTAAATCTGATATATAATAGTTGAGATGTGAATAATCTAATGAATATAATATGCGCACACTACTACAAGTGGATACACCAGCAAATGTCGATTATAGTGGGTTGAGATGTCGACAAATGCCCGGAATCAGACTTCAGCTGCCTACTAGCTGATGCCTCTAAGACACAATCAGTTAGCAGTTGTACACTTGTTAACTAACTTTCCAGACTTGTTAACTAACTTTCCAGACTTGTTAACTAACTTTCCAAACTTGTTAACTTTCCAAAATTGTTAACTAACTTTTCTTAACTTGAATGATTTTCCAGACTTATTAACTAACTCTACCGACCTGTTATCTAACTTTCCAAACCGGGTACCAGGACATGTTCTTGCCCCTCTCCCGGGTACCAGGAAATGTTCTTGTCCCTCCCCCGGGTACCAGGAAATGTTCTTGTCCCTCCCCCCCCCCCCCCGGGTACCAGGACATGTTCTTGCCCCCCTCCCCCGGGTACCAGGAAATGTTCTTGCCCCCCTCCCCCGGGTACCAGGAAATGTTCTTGCCCCCTTGGTTGGAGAGGGGGGGGGGGGGGGTAGGGGGAGGGAGAACTGTTGCAGACTCGGGCAATGGTTCTCATTATAGCTGTTTGTTGACTGTGGACAGGTACGTGTGATAGTGACTGTTGCCTGGCCTTTGAGTTCTAACCGTGACTGTGTGCTTTATCTTGTGTCTAATCAAGGATTTAATGAGCTAGCTCTCCATGCCTCTCATTGCCGAATCTCTCTCTCTCTCTCTCTCTCTCTCTCTCTCTCTCTCTCTCTCTCTCTCTCACACACTCTCTCACACTGTCAGGCACACACTCTGCTTATTTAGACAATAAGTAACCAGAGCTTAAAATGCACTGCGACCTCCAAGTAGTGTATCGGGACTTCTTGCCTTCTATGATAAATACCGGAAGTTAGGAGGACCCGTGTGCACGTTGACCACGTTAAAACGTTCCCGGCAGGTGGACACTCTACAGGCCAGGCCAGCAACTGGACACTACAGGGCAGGCCATACCGGCAGCTGGAACTCTAGAGGCCATGCCGGCAGCTGGACACTCTACAGGACAGGCCATGCCGGCGGCTGGATACTCTACAGGGCATGCCGGCAGCTGGACACTCTACAGGCCATGCCAGCAGCTGGACACTCTACAGGCCAGCAGCTGGACACTCTACAGGGCAGGCCATGCCGGCAGCTGGACACTCTACAGGCCAGGCCAGCAGCTGGACACTCTACAGGGCAGGCCATGCCGGCAGCTGGACACTCTAGAGGCCATGCCGGCAGCTGAACACTCTACAGGGCAGGCCATGCCGGTAGCTGGACACTCTACAGGGCAGGCCAGGCCGGCAGCTGGACACTCTACAGGGCATGCCGGCAGCTAGACACTCTACAGGACAGGCCATGCCAGCAGCTGGACACTCTACAGGGCAGGCCATGCCAGCAGCTGGACACTCTACAGGCCATGCCAGCAGCTGGACACTCTACAGGACAGACCATGCCGGCAGCTGGACACTCTACAGGGCAGACAATGCCGGCAGCTGGACACTACAGGGCAGGCCATGCCGGCAGCTGGACACTCTACAGGGCAGGCCATGCCGGCAGCTGGACACTCTACAGGACAGACCATGCCGGCAGCTGGACACTCTACAGGGCAGGCCAGGCCGGCAGCTGGACACTCTACAGGGCAGGCCATGCCGGCAGCTGGACACTCTACAGGGCAGGCCATGCCGGCAGCTGGACACTCTACAGGCCAGGCCATGCCGGCAGCTGGACACTCTACAGGGCAGGCTGGGCCGGCAGCTGGACACTCTACAGGACAGGCCATGCCGGCAGCTGGACACTCTACAGGGCATGCCGGCGGCTGGACACTCTACAGGGCAGGCCAGGCCGGCAGCTGGACACTACAGGACAGGCCATGCCGGCGGCTGGACACTCTACAGGGCATGCCATGCCGGCAGCTGGACACTCTACAGGGCATGCCATGCCGGCAGCTGGACACTCTACAGGGCAGGCCAGGCCGGCAGCTGGACACTCTACAGGACAGGCCATGCCGGCAGCTTGACACTCTACAGGGCAGGCCAGGCCGGCAGCTGGACACTCTACAGGGCAGGCCATGCAAGCAGCTGGACACTCTACAGGGCATGCCATGCCAGCAGTTGGACACTCTACAGGGCAGGCCATGCAAGCAGCTGGACACTCTACAGGACAGGCCATGCCGGCGGCTGTTCGGGCAACATGTTGACACTAGGTAACAAACCGATTAGGTGATATACACTCACATACAGTGACTGACTGAGTGCTAGAGAGCTGGTTTGTCACGCCGGTTGCATCCTAGGTAGAAATGTCAAAACCCTTACCTGCACAGTTCGTGGCGACTGCACTAGCCTTGCGGTGCTAAACCCTCAGGCTCAAAACTCCCCTGTCCTGCACCGCCATAACAGTGGGCGATAGAGGCATTGAGGACTGTCTGATGATGCTACAGGCACAGATAGAGCCTAGACACTAGTAGATTAGATACCACATATAGAGTCAGGTACAACACATACACACGCATACAGACATTTGTGGGAGCCTAGACACCAGACGTATGGTAGGTTAGATATCACATATAGAGTTAGGTACAACACATATACACGCATACAGACAGTTGTGGGAGCCTAGACACCAGACGTATGGTAGGTTAAATATCACATATAGAGTTAGGTACAACACATACACACGCTTACACACAGTTGTGGGGGCCTAGATACCAGACGTATGATAGGTTAGATACCACATATAGAGTTAGGTACAACACACACACACACACATACAGACAGTTGTTGGAGCCTATACACCAGACGTATGGTAGGTTAGATACCACATATAGAGTTAGGTACAACACATACACGCGCATAACCACAGTTGTGGGAGCCAAGACACCAGACGTATGGTAGGTTAGATACCACATACAGAGTTAGGTACAACACATACACACACACATACAGACAGTTGTCGGAGCCTATACACCAGACGTATGGTAGGTTCGATACCACATATAGAGTTAGGTACAGCACATACATATGCATACACACAGTTATGGGAGCCTAGACACCAGACGTATGGTAGGTTAGATACCACATATAGAGTTAGGTACAGCACATACATATGCATACACACAGTTGTGGGAGTCAAGACATCAGACGTATGATAGGTTAGATACCACATATAGAGTTAGGTACAGCACATACATATGCATACACACAGTTGTGGGAGTCAAGACACCAGACGTATGATAGGTTAGATACCACATATAGAGTTAGGTACAACACATGCATATGCATACACACAGTTATGGGAGCCAAGACACCAGACGTATGGGAGGTTCGATACCACATATAGAGTTAGGTACAACACATACATATGCATACACACAGTTATGGGAGCCAAGACACCAGACGTATGGGAGGTTCGATACCACATATAGAGTTAGGTACAGGACATACATATGCATACACACAGTTGTGGGAGCCAAGACACCAGATCTATGGGAGGTTCGATACCACATATAGAGGTAGGTACAGGACATACATATGCATACACACAGTTGTGGGAGCCAAGACACCAGATCTATGGGAGGTTCGATACCACATAAAGAGGTAGGTACAGGACATACAAATGCATACACACAGTTGTGGGAGCCAAGACACCAGACGTATGGGAGGTTAGATATCACATATAGAGTTAGGTACAACATTTACACACGCATACATACAGTTGTGGGAGTCTAGACACCAGACGTATGGTAGGTTAGATATCACATATAGAGTTAGGTACAACATTTACACACGCATACATACAGTTGTGGGAGTTTAGACACAAGACGTATGAGAGGTTAGGTGCCACACATACATGTTATATACAACACATATTCACATTTGAAGCCTTAGACATCAGACAGATAGTTAATGCTACTTATAGAGCTTAGATACAACACATATTCACATTTGAAGCCTTAGACATCAGACAGATAGTTAATGCTACTTACAGAGCTTAGATACAACACGCATGCGTGCACACACAGAGAGACACTAGATTACAATTCAGATTGACAATTAAATTGAGAGATTGTGTTGGGGTTTGTAACGATAACTACAGAGATGGATAATATAGTTGTGTGAGAATCTCTTGTGAGAGATTGGAGACCGAGATGCATTCTAACAAATGACAGATTAGGGGATTAGTTGTGTACAGCTGTTGTTGAAGTCATTACCGGTGAATGCCAGGGGGAAGGAACTTGTGGCCAGCGATGGGAAGATTGCCCGAGTTAACTGCCCACAGACGACAGCCAGCCACAGTTCATAGAGGTGACAGTCAGTGCTGGCACCATATGCAAGGCAACAGTTGTTTTCTGTGTTTTCATAAAGCCTTTACTTGTTGCAATATTGATGTTGTGCCGCCTTTACGCAAGTCTTGCTCCGTACACAGAAGCACACAGTAGTCTATCATTTATTAACGGTTACCTGTAGCAACAGCTCACGTGCACGCATCGTAAGTCGTCGTTGTTAAGATCAAACTGTATACAGGCAGAGATTGTTCAGATTAGTTTCCTTCAGTATGAAGGGACTTGTATTTGCCCTGTTTGTTGTTTTGTAGCTTTTCTGCCGAGTGGTGGTCGTGCTGGATTCTGAGAGATACCCCTGAGACTGTGCTTGTCTGTGGTAAGTTTGATGGTAATAGAGCTGCGGAGGGCCTTTCAATGTGTTAGCTGTTGCACTGGTCACAGAGAATGAGATCACGTTAGCCGACCGACACAGAAGTGCCGCTAGCTTGGTAGCATGGATGTCATTTAGTCTTTTCCTAGCACTCAGAGGTGGCGAGAACAGACGTTGTCACATTATCCTCGGTGGTAACCTTAGATTTCTTAGGTTCAAATACTTCACATACTACTTTGCCCTGTGTATGATTATATTTGTCTTGTGAGGAATATCAGTAAGGCCGTTATCACTATAAATGAACTGAGAAAGTTTACTATCAGAATTAGAAAAAGCAAGTCCGCTTTTTTTTTCTGGGCACACAGTAAGAATGGAAAACTAGAGAATATTGTGCAGCAAGTTGACTGGAGGGGGACAGACCAGGAAAGGCAATGTTGGACAGTTTGGTGTCATGTCCTTTGTGCAAATGTTAATCAGACATGATTAGCAGTGCGGCAGGAGAAAGACAAAGACAGATCTTCAGCTGCAAGTCCAAACGTCATGGAAGTGAAGAAGAGACCGACCATACCAGTTTCATTGACCATCAAATGCCATTTGGGCAGCGATTGGGCTTAGACAAACCCACTGTTCTGCAGACACAAACACTCATTGCAGATTCCTTGGTCTAGATTGTATCTCTACAGGATGTAAGTGCCGTTGCACACCTGGATGATGGTGTCACTTGATTGACTTTTGAACGGAAGTCCGAAGTAAGCTCTCATGCTGAGCTTGTACCTAGCTAGACATCGTCTGCTGGCTTCAGCAGCACAGAGAACAAGGTCGCCAGAACCTGTACGCTTAGCCATCTTGAACTCTGTTGTCGCTCCTTTCATTTGTTTAAATGGAGGACCGCTGCCACAGAGAAAACATGGGGGCCTCAACCGCAATAATAAAAATAATCATCATGTAGCAGATCCCTTGCAGAACGTCGCTCCCATCACTGTATGACTGAAAGAAACTCCGGTCTTTCTCGCCTCATGTAATTTCATATTCACGGAGTCATTTATGTCTTGGCTCCTGCCCCTCATTTCTGGTACCATGCCTTCTGCTATAATTTGTTCAAATCCGCCGTGACGCTTGGTATGAGTAAAACTGTTGACCTGATGTTTGTTAGCCAATCTTTCTTGATGTTGAGATCTTTTCAAATATCAGTATTTATTCTCTTCTTTGTCCGTGGTATTCTGAGACATTTTCTATAGCATTTCAGCTCAAACGTCCATTTGTTCTTCCTTAGGGGCTAACAGATAGTCCATGGCTTACATCCATATGTTGCTACAGGGAAGATACATGCTCTTAACATTTTCACTGATTTCCTTGCTGTTGCTTAACCATTTACTTTTAATGCTGTTTAAAATTAATAATAATATTTGTTTTAAACAAGACACGATCTTTTTGTCCGCCGCCTGTATGAAATGATTCTGAGGGGGGGGGGGGGGGGGGGAAAAGAATCACATGGGTCTTCAGGTTTGTTTGATTTCGCAATAGTAATAATTACTGTTATCTTTATCTTCTCTTTCAGTTCAGCGACTGTAAACTGTTGCGGACAGTTCTGGTTGTTTATCCACTTCTGGGCTTCAGTTTTGTTCTAGAACCCGAGTTTTGAGTGTACATCTGTTATACATATATCGCTTACTTGTATGCAGACTGTTGGTTCCTCGCCTCCCAGGCAGATGCACGCCAACTTTGACATAAATCCCTTTAAATATTCGACGGTCAAAGTAACGTTTTCCGGAAAGAGAGTAACTTCCCTTCCCATTCATGCCTTGTCGCGTCGCAGGGCTCTACTATGTTGCAGGAGTGTTATGGTATGGTTTAGTTCCGCGTTCGCTCTCCGTATGTAATGTTTGTGGGAGGTTGTGGTGTCTTGTCTCTTTGAGGCCCCACGGGCGCCTGTATACAAGTAAGAAGTACTGCTGGAGGAAGCGCGGCTAGCGCGATTATTCTTGTTAACGACACTGGGATATTTTTGTATTTCTTTGTTCATTGGCGATAGCTTCGCCCTGAAACAGAGAAGCCACTGACAAGGAACGTAGAAGTACAAACATATCTCGGTTTTCTGACCTCTGAACCGTCGCGCTGGTAGCAGAACATGAAAATAATCACGCAGGTGAGCGGTGGGAAGACGAGAAAAGAAAGAATGGTTAAAGCGTTGACAATAAGGATTGTTGCGAGGGCCCTTTGTGAGCGAGTAAACAGTGCCGAGAAACAGATAGATCATTACGGTCAGAGGAGAATGGCACTGCGAGGAGTTAAACGGGATCTGGCTGACGCTCGACACTCGGGTGAGGGGCGAGACGGAAATACAATCAGAGTGTTACTGGTACCATCGGAATTTTAACTCTTTGCTTGCTGCTGAAGATGGGGACAGAGCGCTTATGGGAGTGTCCCGAGTGATGTGATGTCGATTCTTAATTTAACATTCAACATTCAATAAGGAATACATGACACCCCCTGCAACCTAGGAGAGACCGTGCGATCCGATGAGGCATGAATATGAAGGGAAGTCACTCTCTTTGTGTGGCGAAAAAGGTCACTTGAACATATTCGACTTCTGCGACATCCTTCTTAGGGGATCAGTGGCTCTGTACTGCCTCTCCCCGGCCCCGTAATGTGGTCACAGAACCCACATGTGGAACCTGTCGCTAGCAGTCTACAGAGTTGCTGTCGCGCCTCTTATCATCTCTGGCTGTGTTTGCGTGATTGGCAGATCTGAAACCCAAGCCATAGAAACCCTGTTCAACCTCACATAAAGTTATAATTAGGGTCCTCGAAAGAGTCCGGTGTCAGCAGCTGCTGCTGTTCTGTGTGGGTAGGTATATATAATGAAGCTGCTGAAAGGAGCCACTTTGAAGGAAATGGGGTGCTGATTTGTTTGTTGTGATTGGAAGTTAGACAGAACGCTACGTACGGTGGGAAGTAGGGGGAAGAGAGGGGGGATGTTTTGGAGTTACCTAGATGTGTCATGTCAGGTTGTTCAGTCACGTGACGTGTTTTTAATTACTGTAACTGCTGGCGGTTGGAAATCTTCCTTTGTGAATTTTTTCATAAACATATACTTTAAGAGAGAGAGAGAGAAAGAGAGAGAGAGAGAGAGAGAGAGAGAGAGAGAGAGAGAGAGAGAGAGAACTGAATAGAATCAGCTGTGTAGTTTAAAGGTCAGTCATACGCCATACGGCGACCCGCGTAAAGGTCACGTTAATACAGGTCAGATAATCTGCCCTTGACCTTCTGTTGAGATTGGTTGATTAAACCACAGAAACCTGCCCACTGATCTTATATATCCCTGCGATCATCCTATTGCTATGCTTCAGCTATCTATTGCCCTTATTCTTTCCCGCTCTCTCTCTCTCTCTCTCTCTCTCTCTCTCTCTCTCTCTCTCTCTCTCTCTCTCAGGTATTGGTACTCTGAAAAATGAGAACTTAGAAGGGCCAAATGTCTGAGGGGCCTGCGTGCCCGAATTGTAACCCTTTGAAAATAGTTCGTTCGTACTCTCTCTCTCTCTCTCTCCTCTTGTGTTCTCCTCTCACCCTCATTACTGTACGATGTTTTACGCCATCGACTTGATGTTGGCGTAAAGGGAAGGAACGGATGCACTTGTTATATGCAAACTCACACAGTCAGTGTTGGCGTCTGCTCAAGTTTGGTCTGGCTGTGGTTTTGAACTGACAACACGGGCTGGGAGTTTATACAGCAAGATGTCTACAGTGTTGTCTCTTTAGAAGAAGTTCATCTGTTTATTATCTGGCCATCGTCTACTTGTGGGCGTCTATTGTGGGATCTCTGAGGGCTACAACAATCACATGGTCAGCTTTAGAATCTGGTGGTAACCAGTGCAGAGATAAGGAACACGACAGGGATAGGTGACAGAAAGAAAGACAGACTCAAAGAAAGGGAGAAAGACAGACAGCGAGAGAGAAAGAGAAAAAAAAAGAAAGAGAGAGAGAGAAAGAGAGAGAGAGAAAGAAAGAAAGAGAGAGAGAGAAGGAGAGAGAGAGAAAGAGAGAGAGAGAACGAACGAATGAACGAACAAACTTTGTTTTAAAAGGGTTAAGAATTGGGCACGCAGGCCCGTCTAACATTCTTACATCATTTCATTCATACATCAAGTAATATTAAAAATTAGCAAAAGCATCACAATAATCAATACAAGCACTGGAATGTGCACATTTCTAGCTACAGTAAACCATAGTAGTTGTAACAAATCTAGGGAAAATAGATAGATAGAGAGAGAGAGAGAGAGAGAGAGAGAGAGAGAGAGAGAGAGAGAGAGAGAGAGAGAGAATGATGTGTTTGCTTAGCCTTGTATTGCTTTGCCTTGTATGTGCTGCAGACTGAGTTGATAGACATGTTTGACACTCTTACGACTATAGAACAGTAGCTGAGATCCAGTTATGTTCGGTGTCTGTAGTTGCGATGTCAGATACCTGATAACTCTGACATGTACCGGCGTGGTTTGTCACTGAATGTACCTGCGTGGTTTGTCACTGAATGTACCTACGGGGTTTGTCACTGAATGTACCTACGTGGTTTGTCACTGAATGCACCTACGGGGTTTGTCACTGAATGTACCTACGGGGTTTGTCACTGAATGTACCTACGTGGTTTGTCACTGAATGTACCTACGTGGTTTGTCACTGAATGTACCTACGGGGTTTGTCACTGAATGTATATACGGGGTTTGTCACTGAATGTACCTACGTGGTTTGTCACTGAATGCACCTACGTAGTTTGTCACTGAATTTACCTACGGATTTTGTCACTGAATGTACCTACGGGGTTTGTCACTGAATGTACCTACGGATTTTGTCACTGAATGTACCTACGGGGTTAGTCACTGAATGTACCTACGTGGTTTGTCACTGAATGCACCTACGGGGTTTGTCACTGAATGTACCTACGTGGTTTGTCACTGAATGCACTTACGGGGTTTGTCACTGAATGTACCTACGGGGTTTGTCACTGAATGTACCTACGGATTTTGTCACTGAATGTACCTACGGGGTTTGTCACTGAATGTACCTACGTGGTTTGTCACTGAATGTACCTAAGGGGTTTGTCATTGAATGTACCTACGTGGTTTGTCACTGAATGCACCTACGGGGTTTGTCACTGAATGTACCTACGGGTTTTGTCACTGAATGTACCTTGGTGGTTTTCACTTTATGTTGTATGTTCATTTGGTACTGGATGTTGTAGCCCTTGATCTGACACTCATTGTTGTGCTATACGTGTGTCACTGACTGACTGCTGCACGTTCATGGTTTCACTGACATGTGTGGCACGTGCTTGTTGTCGTGTCCTCAGGGCTGCCCATGTCCATGACCTTCGTCTGCATGCTTTTGATCACCTCGGTTTAATGGATCGTTAGAGTCCTTCTTCGTCCGGGTTCCGGGGCCCCATTGTTCGAGAAACAGAGAACAGACACACTACTTCCTAGCAAACATGTCGTAACAGTTGACCAATTAGTATTTGTTCCTTCGAAGTCGGAGTGCATCTGTTTGGGAAGCAAGAAAGTAACAGTCTGAATACAAATAAGCCAGATATGTAAAACAGATGTGCACTAAAAACTCAAGTACTAAATCAAGACTGAAGACCAGAAGTGGACGAACAACCAGAACTTAC